AAAAAAAAAAAAAATAATAATAATAATACATTTAAAATGATAACGGTAATAGCTCTTTTGGGCCAGGCGGGACGGCTCACACTTGTAATCCGAGCACTTTTGTAGGCTCAGGTAGGAGGATCAGGAGCTTCTTGAGTCCAGGAGTTCCAGTGAGCTGTGATTGTGCCTGGGTGACAGAGTAAGACCGTGACTCAAAAAATATGTATAGCCCCTTTATTTATTTATTTAGAGACGGAATCTCCCTCTGTTGCACAGGCTGGAGTGCAATGGTGCGGTCTTGGCTCATGGCAACCTCGACCCTCTGGGTTCAAGTGATTTTCCTGCCTCAGCCTCCTGCGTAGCTAGGATTACAAGTGCACACCCCCATATCTGGCTAATTTTTTTATTTTTAGTAAAGACAGTGTTTCACTATGTTGGCCAGGCTGGTCTTGAACCCCTGACCTCAGGTAGTCAGCCCGCCTTGGCCTTCCAACCACTTTATTTATTATTTATTTATTTATGTAGAGACAGAGTTCCATTCTGACGCCTAGGCTGGAGTGCAGTGTCGGGATCTCGGCTCACTGCAAACTCCGCCTCCCAGGTTTAAGTGATTCTCCCGCCTCAGCCTCCCAAGTAGCTGGGATTACAGATGCAAACCACCATACCTGGGCTGCTGTGTTGGCCAGGCTGGTCTCGAACTCCTGATCCCAAGTGATCCGCCTGGTACCATGACCATCGGGATTCAACTCAGATGTAACATGGGCCCCAGGGAGTATCATTCTGGGCCCTGTGTGGGATTTGAGGACAACCTCTAGGCATGTAGCCCAGGAAATAAGAAGTGGGCAGAGGTGAGAAGAGAATGGCAGCCAGCCGTTCTCTTTGGTGGAACTTTCTTTGATGATAGAAATGTTATGTCTGCACCACTCCCAGCCACCTCTAAGTAACTGAGCACGTGCAGCATGGCTAGTGTAACTGACGAATTGTGTTTCTTTTTTTTTTTTTTTGAGATCGAGTTTCCCTCTTGTCACCCAGACTGGAGTGTAATGGTGCGGTCTCGGCTCACTGCAACCTCCACCCTCTGGGTTCAAGTGATTTTCCTGCCTCTGCCTTCCAAGTAGCTGGGATTACAGGTGCCCACCACCACATCCAGCCGATTTTTTTAGTGGAGACGAGGTTTTGCTCGAACTCCTGACCTCAGGAGATCCACCCGCCTTGGCCTCCCAAAGTGCTGGGATTACAGGCGTGAGCCACCAAGCCTTCCCCGAATTTACTTTATTTAGTTTGAGTTGATGTACATGTAAGATTTTTCCAGGTGGGCACTGTGGCTGACAGTTGTAATCCCAGCACTTTGGCCGGCTGAAGCAGGAGGATCACTTGAACCCAACAGTTCGAGACCAGCCTGGGCAACATGGTGAGGCACCTGTCTTTCTTTTTTCTTTTTTTTTTTTTTTTTGAGATGGAGTCTCACTCTGCTGCCCAGGATGGAATGCAGTGGCGCAATTTCGGCTCACTGCAACCTCCACTTCCCAGGTTCAAGCAATTCTCCTGCCTCTGCCTCTTGAATAGCTGAGATTACAGGCATGTTCCACCATGCCTGGCTAATTTTTCTATTTTTAGTAGAGATGAGGTTCTGCCATGTTGGCCAGGCTGGTCTCAAACTCCTGACCTCAGGTGATCCACCTGCCTCAGACTCTGAAAGTGCTGTGATTACAGTGTGAGCCACAGTGCCTGGCCAAGGCACCCGTCTTTTTTATTTGATTTTATTTATTTTTATTATTACTATTTTTTGAGATGGAGTCTCACTGTGTTGCCCAGGCTGGAGTGCAGTGGCGTGATCTCGGCTCACTGCAACCTCTGCCTCCCAGGTTCAAGTGATTCTCCTGCCTCAGCCTCCTGAGTAGCTGGGATTACAGGCGTGGGCCACCACACCAGGGTAATTTTGGTATTTTTAGTAGAGACGGAATTTCACCATATTGGTCAGGCTGGTCTTGAACTTCTGACCTCGTGATCCCCCTGCCTCAGCCTCCCAAAGTGCTGAGATTACAGCTTGAGCCACCGTGCCCAGCCAAGGCACCCATCTTTATTTAAAAAAAAAAAAGGCCAGTTCTGGGTGTGTGTGCCTCTAGTCCCAGCTATTCAGGTGGCTGAAGTGGGAGGATTGCTTGAGACTAGCTTGGGCAACACAGCAAGACCCTCTCTCTAAAACAATCTTTTAGTCCAGGTGCAGGCAACAAAGTGAAGCCTTATCGCTACCCCCCCCAAAAATATATATATACACACACACACATGTATGTATATACTACACATATATATGTGTATATATACACAAAATTAGCCAGGTATCGTGGTGGGTGCCTGTAGTCCCAGCTACTCCGCGAACCTTGGAGGGTTAAGGCGGAAGAACTGCTTGAGCTTCGGGAGATTGAGGCTGCAGTGAGCCGAGATCGCGCCACTGCACTCCAGCCTGGGTGACAGGGTAAGATCCTGTCTCTGACGTGACATCACGCCAGGCTAATTTTTAAATTTTTTTTGTTTTGTTTGGAGACAGAGTCTCTCTGTTCCCCAGGCTGGAGTGCAGTGGCGTGATCTCGGCTCACTGCAACCTCCGCCTCCTGGGTTCAAGTGATTCTCGTGCCTGAGATTCCCGAGTTGCCGGTGCTCCAGGCGCCCCTCATCACGCATGGCTAATATTTTATATTTTTAGTAGAGACCGGGTTTCGCCATGTTTGCCAGGCTGGTCTTGAACTCCTGATCTCAGGCAGTCTGCCTACCTCGGCCTCCCAAAGTGCTGGGATTACAGGCGTGAGCCACCTCGCCTAGTCAAAATT